CTTCCTTCCCTCCTTCATTCCTTCCTTCCTTCCCTCCTTCCTTCCTTCCCTCCTTCCTTCCATCCTTCCCTCCTTCCTTCCTTCCCTCCTTCCTTCCTTCCTTCCCTCCTTCCTTCCCTCCTTCCTTCCTTCCTTCCTTCCCTCCTTCCTTCCCCCCCCGACCCCTGTCCAGGGGTCACGACCCCTCTGACCTCGGGAGGACCGGAAGTGCTTGCTGGGGGCGGTGAACCCCCGCGTGCCATGGCTGTTGACGGCTGCGACCCGGAACTGGTACCAGCGCGTGGCCCGGATGTCGTCCAGCTGCGCGTGTTCCTCGGTGGTCTGCGGGGAGGAAGGAAAAGAAATGAAGGATTTGACCAATGGGTTTTCCAGGGTTGGGAGACCAAGTTGGGGGGAAGGAACAGGTCCAGGGCGCCATGTTGGATGTGAGCAATGGGTCTCCCAATGCTTGTGGATGGCGGGAGTCGGGTTCTGGTGAAATTAAGAGGTCCAGGGCGCCATCTTGGATTTGACCAATGGGTTTTCCAGGGTTGGGAAGCCAGTTTGGGGGGAAGGAACAGGTCCAGGGCGCCATGTTGGATGTGAGCAATGGGTCTCCCAATGGTCGTAGGTGCTGGGAATCCAGTTTGGCTGAAATCAAGGGGTCCAGGGCGCCATCTTGGATTTGACCAATGGGTTTTCCAGGGTTGGGAGTCCACGTTGGGGGGAAGGAACAGGTCCAGGGCGCCATGTTGGATGTGAGCAATGGGTCTCCCAATGCTCGTGGATGTCTGGAGTTGGGTTCTGGTGAAATTAAGAGATCAAGGGCGCCATCTTGGATTTCAACAATGGGTTTTCCAGGGTTGGGAGACCAGGTTGGGGGGAAGGAACAGGTCCAGGGCGCCATGTTGGATGTGAGCAATGGGTCTCCCAATGGTCGTGGATGTCTGGAGTCGGGTTCTGTTGAAATTAAGAGATCAAGGGCGCCATCTTGGATTTGAACAATGGGTTTTCCAGGGTTGGGAGACCAGGTTGGGGGGAAGGAACAGGTCCAAGGTGACATGTTGGATGTGAGCAATGGGTCTCCCAATGGTCTTGGATGAGTGAAGAGGTCCAGGGCGCCATCTTGGATTTCCCCCAGGGGTCCTGAGTTGGGGGGATGGATTTTCCCCCTTGGGTTTTCGGGGTCTCACCTGGGTGACCGTCCGCCACGGCGTGGCCTCGTCCTCGCTGGGGTGGATCCCACGGTTCCATCGACGCTGCACCACGTAGACCACGGGTTCGAGGGACGCGTTGGACCTGGATGACCAGCGCAGCTCCAGCCGCCCGGACTCGAACTCGCGGAATCTCAGCTCCTGCCTGGGCCTGGCGGGGACGCCTGGGGGAGCAGCCAACGAGGCATCGATCACTAATCAGAAACCGATAGCCGATCGATAACTGATCGATAATCGATCACCAATCGATAATCAATTAACAACCGATAATGCGATAGCCAGTGATGAATAAATCGATAATTGGTAATCGACCAATCGATAACCGATCAATCGATCACCAATCGATACCCGATAAATCGATAACCGATCGATAATCGATCAATAACCGATAATGCGATAACCAACAACAGGTAAATCGATAACTAATCGATAACCGTTAAATTGATGCCCGATTGATCGATAATAAATCGACAACCCATGTCTAATAAATCGATAACTGATAACCAATCGATGATTGATAAATAACCGATTATGCGATAGCTAATGACAAATCGATAACTGATCTAGGACCTATAAATCGATAACCTATAAATCGATTCCCGATTGATAACCGATCAATAACCAGAACGGCAATAGCCAATGATGAATAAATCGATCACTAATCGATAATCGATACCCGATCGATCGCTAACCGATTGATAATCTATGACCAATCCACACCCGATCGATCAGTCACCCATACATCGATCACAGATCAGTAACCCATAGCGGGCCAATCAATAGCAGATAAACCAATAACAAATCAATAACCTATCACTGGCCAATACACCAACCACTAATCGATCATTGATAATAGACAACCGATAAATTGAGACAAGACAGATCAATAACTAATCCATAACTGACCTATGATCGACAACCAATCGATACCAAATCAGTAACCCATCAGTGGCCAATAAATCAATCACTAATCAACAACTAATAACTGTCCAATAAATCAATCACTAATGGATAACTGATAGATAATAGATATCCAATCGATACCAGACAGACCGATAACTAATCAATAACTGATCAATCACTGATCGATCATCAGTCGATTCTAAATCAATAACCCATCACTGGTCAATAAATAAAGCAATCACTAATCAATAACTGTCCAATCAATCAATCACTAATCGATAACTGATCGATAACCAATCGACACTATTCAGATCAATAACTAATCAATAACTCATCGATGATCGACGACCAAGCCATACCAAATCAATAACCCATCACTGGCCAATAAATAAATCACTAATCCATAACCAATCGTCGATCACCAATAATCGATCACCAATACTCGATCACCAATAATCGATCACCAATCGATACCAAATCAATAATCCATCAGTGGCCGATAAATAAATCACTAATCAACAACCAACAACCAACAACCGATCATGAATAATCGATCACCAATAATCAATCACCAATTATCCATCCCCAATCGATACCTAATTAATAACCCATCACTGGCCAATAAATCAATCAATAACCAATCATCAATCACCAATCACCGAGAACCAATAATCAATAACCAATTATCGATCCCCAATCGATACCAAATCAATAACCCACCAGTGGCCGATAAATCAATCAATCACCAATCATCGATCACAATAGTCGATAACCAATAACCAATCATCGATCACCAATAATCGATCGCCAATGATCGATACCCCATCATCGATCGCCCATCATCGATCCCCGATCGATCGCCCCCCCTCACCTCGCAGGCGGGCCCGCGGGCCCTGGCAGGTGCGTCCGCAGCCGTTGGCGCAGCACTTGCGGGCGCCCGCGCAGT